TATATATGTATGTATGAATATTTAATATACATAGTATATCTTTAAATAAAAGTATGTTTCGTAAATTGATATCTTGCATTAGTTTAAAAATATGTTAATGCGAAATAATGTCAAGATATCTACAGCCATAATTTACGAAATGTATTGTTTTACACAAATTTGGAAAAAAAAAATATATATATATATAATAATTTACTTAACATAATTTCAATGAAAATATTAATCAAATTCCAAGAGTATGTTACGTGGTATCAATTCATGCGCCAAAATAGAATAATACATGGCTTTGTTTAGACCACTATTATTATCATCAAATAATATTATTACGTTATTACTTTTTTGTAGGGTAAAAAGTGGAATTAGTTTCGCATAAACAAAAAACAAAAAATAAGATACATTATTAATAGTCCTAAAATAGTGTAAGATAATATATATTTACTTAACGTTTAAAGTGGTTTGTGTCAAATGGTTTTTACGAAGCTTTCATATTCACACTGCTTTTGTTATATTTGTGTACTTTAATGCACTTAAAAATCACTTGGTTATTATGATATATATATATAAATTTAAGAGAAGGGACATTTTTAAAGCGACGATAATGTAAAGTTGTTTGAAGTTTTAAAGGCATAATAAAGAGAATAAAAAGATAATAAAAAAATGATAATAATACAAATAAAACCAAGAAATCACTGACAATGAAATGTCGATAATATTATAACCTTCATTTTCCTATTAAAAGTGTATCAAATAAACGTAGAGTTTATTAAAATAATGTATAACGTTATTCTTTATAAACGTAATGATTTCATAGAAATTTTCATGAAAATGTATTTGATTTACCCGCCAAAAAGATCGGAAATATTCGAGTAAGTTCGGAATAATTCGTTGCGCGCAGCCATCAGCGCCCAAGCGATAGAGTTGTACGGTCGAAATTGACTACCCGAGTCGGTGTATGTGATTTGTGTGTCGGTTAGAGCAAAGAAGCAAAAAAGAATTTACGAGGAATATCATAAGCAATGTAAGTATTAGAATAACCTTGTAAACATTTAGAAAAAATATAAATATAAGCATGAAAAACGTTAACGAATATCGAAACTGTTAAATTCAAATCTAACCCCAGTAAGATTACAACTGCTGTGTATTGAGCACGAAAGCACATAACTTTGAGAATCATGTTTCGTACTAAATGGTAACATTATTGTATCCGATATCTTTTAAATCTTAATTTTGATGTCTATATTTGATTCTTTGTTAGTAGACAGAAGTTATAACGATTTGATTTTGATTTGTTTCTAGCAAAGAACACGATCACTCATCGTTTTATCGGTTCTTACAAATGGAGCACAGTCATAAGAATACAGATTGCTACTTTTTTTATTATTCTACATGCAAAAAGGTAAGTTCACTTTTTCATCTTTTGTAAACTAATAATTATCATATTTGATTGTATTATAGTTAAAAAAAAAAGTATTTTTTCTATTGTTGCCCCATATTGCTTAACTTTCATAAACCTCGCAAGGTTAGGTCGGCCATGTTGAAGCCATATTGTGCGATACTTCCCTTTTCACAAAATTTCTCTTCTTATATATATTTTTTTATTTATTCGATATTTAAACCAAATATACTGTTTTTCATTCGTTTATTGTAAAATCAATAGTTAAAATGTAGTGTTAAACATGATCGATTGCGATCGTTGCAGTGTATTTATTTCACGAATTATAAAGTATACTTAAATGTTGAACTATTTTATTGTTCAATTAAGAGTAGATGAAATATAATAATAATAATAGTAATAATAAAAATAATAATAATAACATTAATAATAATAACAGCAGCAATAATAATAATAATAATAATATTTACAGGAATATAGGATTTTTATAACATTTCAGATATTTAATAATAACCAATATTTTTTCTTAATGTAATATAATTGTTAGATATTGGTAAACTGTTAATTAATTCAATGATAATCATCTGACAATAAACAAACAAGATCTAGATTATCATTTTGCTTTCAGTATATAATTTTTGAGTACTGTAAGCATTTATAAATGTGTATACATATATAGGTATATATATANCTGTCCTTTTAGACATGAACCATCAGCTTTGGGTTGCGAAACAATGTGCTCCTATTGGCAACAGGGTAATTGCCTTAACGAGCATTGTAGCTTTATATATATAAAAGATTATATATAAAAATAAGAGATATATAAATTGTATTATTGTTTAGTATTTTGTATTTCGCAGGGTGAACTCTGTCCTTTTAGACATGAACCATCAGCTTTGGGTTGCGAAACAATGTGCTCCTATTGGCAACAGGGTAATTGCCTTAACGAGCATTGTAGCTTTAGGCATATGGAATTGAAAGTAAGCATATATTCTTTTAAAATTTCCATTGTTTCATTAAGTAGTAATCGCTATTCTTCTAATACTTTTTTACCATGTATACAATATTATTAATTTGTTTGTTTGATACTTAGAAAAACCGCAAATCAATTCCATGCTATTGGGAGACGCAACCTAGCGGATGCAGGAAACCGCATTGTCCTTTTCTTCACAAGAATGTTCGAGCTATATATGATCCGATTAACCCAGTCAAAGCAACTGAGGTAACGTCAAAACCCATCAATCAGGATTGGGTAAATCGTCAAGGTGAGTCTAATGTCATATAAATATTGTGGTGATACTTATTATCTTTATAGGTTATAAATGTAGGGGTTAAGTTTAATTATATATAAATAAACTTTTAAAGATGACGCAAAATACGACACAAGCAGTGCAGAATCAGATCAAGGTAGAGGAAGCAGCGAAGCTGGCAGTTTCATTGGCAGTCCAGCTGTCGATCCTCTTATCGTCAAATTTGGAGAAGGTATGAGGCTTTACTAGCCCCCCCGTCCATCTTTCAATGTACATTATCTTACACCAGGTACTCTCTCCCTTCCATCCAGCCTGCAGACAAATTTGAATCTCCCAAACGCGCTCAGCATTCCAAACAATCTGACAATCCCGAACAACGTTCCTAATAGTCTTGGCATTCCTAGTAACATCACTGTTACAAATAATCTGAATGTACAACAGCCATCGGTACAGAATTCGCAGCCTTCTCCTTGTCATCACGCGTTAACTTATCCACATCAACCAAATTTACATTCTCATTCTCCTGGTCAATCTTTATCCCCTCTACAAAATCAACAAAATTCTTCGCTTCTTCAACAAACGTCGTTTTCACCAATACATACGCAGCAAACTCCTCAGCCTCAAACATCAAGATTCCCTTTTCCATTTGTCGGTATTACATCATATAGAAGGTTTTAAAAGCTGTTAAAGTGTATAGATAACAGCATTATGGGTCGTTTTTCTTACTCATTGGTTTAACAGCAAAATAATATTTTCTCTAATCATATAACAAATTATATCCATTGTCAGAGATTTGTGTTTTTCATTTATGAATTCATATATATATATATATATATATATATCAACACACACGTATACACATACACACGGAGATGGAAAACGAAATAATAATAATAATATTAATAATAAAAATAAAAGTAATAAATAATAAATATTAATAACGAGAAAATATTTTTTTGCTACCAATGATCGATATTAATATAATAATACGTAATATTCGTTTTTTCGTGGCAAAAGATAAGAAAGAATTTTGTGTCAATTCTATATGATAATTTTTCTTCATTAAGATATTATAATCAAACTAATTGATACAGAAAAACAACAATTCTAACAATTCTATCGAATTATTGATTTTTGACAAATTCTGTAAAAGCAATAGCACTTTTCTGAAAGAAAGTACAACGTTCGTAAAAGAATCGTATTGTATTGCATTAGGGCAAGCGTTCAAAGTATTTGGCGGATGTTATAGCATCAAAGTTGATGCCAATTGACGATGCCAACTCTTTGTAAACGTTTCTTAACATTTGTTTTTCATTTTGCTTTTCAATAATAAAGACCAGATTGCGCAAATTTATATTAGTACAATTAATAATAAATAATTAATAACATTAATAATAATTTTAATAATAATAATAAAAATAATAATAATATTAATATTAATATTAATAATAATAATAAAAATAAAAAAATAAAAATAATAATAATTATTATAATAATAATAATAATAATAATAATAATAATAATGATAATATAGTCGAAATGAAAGTTCGAAAGGGATGAATAGTACTTATTTAATGTGTACGTGTTCCAAGTGAGAGATTCTCATATCGAGGTCTTTATTATTGGGCACAATATTATAGCTCGCTGGATATAAAGTTAGTTATTTATTAATGCAATCCTCTTAGCAAATTTCTTCATATCACATTATCAAATATGGTGATTAATTTTTTGAAATAGTAATAATAATAATAATAATAATAATAATTCGAAAGAGAAGTAAAGCTTAAGATATGGCGCACTTTATAACATATTATTATTATTTATCACAAAGTATACATTATACATAACGTTTGTTAATTTTTTCATATATATTTAATTATTTGTCGAATTGATCTGAAAGATATTTGACGCAATGAAAAAATAAAAAGTAAACATAGAGAAGCGAAATGAAAATGAAGTTAAATTAAATAAGTGAGATCGTCATCTATTAATTATTATGCTAATTACGAGGAAGAGGAAAAACACGCAACATTTAGATAACTTCCATTTAAATTTGGCTTTTTAAAATGAGAAACACATATATATATATAGTACGAATTGGCACTGTTCTTAACGTTTTCTTGTTCGGGAATGTAGTAGTTATTCGGTTAATGTAGCATCTAAAGCAAAAAAATTATTTATATTTTAATATTTGCGCGAGAGTTAAATTTTGTCGATTGTAAAAGTAAAAGTAAAGTTAAAGATAAAGATAAAGTAAAAGTAAAAGTAAAGGAAAAAAAAAGTTATGAAAGAAAGAAAGAAAGAAAGAAAGAAAGATAGAGAAATAGAAAGATAGAATGAAAGAAAGAAGGAAAGAAAAAAAAGAAAGTTGTAAAAAAATGGTAGACGCAAAAGAAAAGAAAAGAATAAAGTAAGGAAGATTTATTATTATTATTATGAGTATCCACGAATAATAATACGAAAGATGAAATCACGCACCACTTTTTAGGCAGCGCGCTTGCATATTTTCCAAAAAAAAAAGATGAACTGTAGAAATAACTATGAATTTTTCCAGGGGCTGCTATATCTAAACTTTGCCTGTAGCCCTCTAAATCGCCTATGGCTATCTTTCTCCAGCTGTATGTGCAGTGCGATGAAGCTTCGAACCGAATAAATCCTCAGTGGTGTGTGTAATAGATACAAAACAAATTATTATAATAATAAGAAGAAAATAAAAAAAAAAAAAAAATAAAACAGTAAAAACCTGCAGGTTAAAGCGCTACTACTATATGCGGTCTCTCTTCATCGCGCTGTAAAATAAAAAAAAATAAAAAAAAAATATATATAAAATAAAATTAAGAATAGATGCATATATTGAACAAAAAAAAAAAAAAATAAAAAAAAAATAATAAAAAAAAAAAAATAAGAACAAATTTGTTTGTACTCTGAATGAAGAGAAGAAGATAGCTATGGGTCGTCGCTTTGCCACGCATACATGTTGACCTAAGAAAAAAAAAAGTATATATATATACATACATACATATACGTATAAATATGTATGTATATATGTATAAATTGAAATAATAAAAAAAAAAAAAAACAAAACCAAACAAAAATGAAAAAAAAAAAATAATATAATGATTAAACAAAAGAACAAAAAAAAAAAGAATGGTTTAATAACAACAACAACACCATGAAATTATTAAAACACACTCTTTATCTGCCGTGTTGTACGATATAAAAAAGAAACTTAAACAAATCATTCGTCATCAAGGCTAATAGTCGTCAGCCTATTATAATATATAATATAAATAGTATTCGATTATCACACCTCTCCTTTAAAAAAAATATTCATGGCAAATTGAGAGTGAATGATTCAACTTGAGGCTCCTTTACGTTCATGTTCTACAGAACAGTATAGTATATGTAATTTCTAATAAGATTTGTGTACTATATCGGTTAGATTTCCCATTATTTAATATGGGATATAGCTCTATGCTGGAGGCACGATATACTAGAAAGAACGTTTAGGAGGAAAAATCATTGTCTTATTCGTATTTACATATTTTCCACGTAGAAAAAAAAAACATAGAGAGAGAGAGAGAGAAAGAGAGAGAAAGCGTATATGATTGAATGAATGAAAGTTAAAAAGAAAGAAAGGAATAAACAAAATGAAAAATTTACTAAAAATTGAATGAAAGAAAATAATGAAGAAATATTAAACAAAAATAATTTTACACGAGCGTAGTATTATTATATATACATGGAAATACGTTCGAATAAACATAAGAAATTGGATTCGTTGCATTATTCTTTCTTTCTTTTTAATTCTTCTTAATATTATTATGTATTATATATTTATTTATTTTTCTTCTTTTCTTTTTTTTTTAAATTATGTTAATAATTTAGGCCGGCTACGTGCCTCTGGCTGGCGCTAAGTGCAATGACGGATAAAAAATGATAAAAAAATTATGATCGAATATTTGATTCAATATATATGTATGGATGCGCTAATAATAAGCGCGTATATATATAATAATACATCTTACGATATGCATAACGAAAAACTGCATTTATTGTATGAAATATTGTGTGTAACACGTTAGAGAGTAGAGAGAGAGAGAGAGAGAGAGAGAGAGAGAGAGAGATAAATAAAGAGAAAGAGGAAGAAAAAGAAAAAAGAAAGAATTTGGTAAAGAGGAGGCATGCATAATAGGAAAGAAAAAAAGAGATAGAAAAAGAAAACAGGATATCGGCGATATGGTGGTGGGATTGGGGGTGAAATAGAGAAAGAGAAAGAGAGAATGAATTTATGGGATTGCTTGAAAAGAAATATGGAAAGGATAGGAGTATAACGAATGTAGGAAAAAGGAAATTAAAAATAAACAAACAAAAAAAAAATAAAAAATAAAAAAAAAATAAAAAATATAAATAAGAGTTGATGAGTGAGAGGGAGAGAAAGAGAGACAGACAGACAGACAGAGACAGACAGAGAGAAAGAGAGAAAGAGAAAACAAGAGATATATATATACATAAACACACACATAAGATTGATATACGTTTCACGAACGAATTCATTTGTAGAATATAAGTAGGTATGCGATATTGCAGGTGGTACGCGTATACATACATACACACAAACATAAATACATACATACATACATACATACATACATACATACATACATACATACATCTTCTACATACATAAAAAAATACGCATATTAATACACATATACATATAATTACATATACATATACGAATCGTCGTGGTGATGTCGGTCGTGTCGTCCCAGCCTTAATTTTTAACGCGTGCGCGAATAATATATGCCTTCATATGTTTTGGCTTTTCACACGAATTTACGAGTTTTTAACGGCATGGGATTTAAATAATGTTAAATAATAAACGTTCTCTCCATATACATATACACGCACACGCACATATAAATATATATATATATATATAGAGAGAGAGAGAGAGAAAGAGAAAGAGAGAAAAAAAAGAGAGAGAGAAAGAGCGAATATTCGCGCCAGTGATTCAAATTCGGCACAAAACGCGGTTTTGTTTAAATTCTACGGCGCGAAATAATTTCAACGCGGTTGTACATTTATCGTTGTGTGTGAGGTATTATAGTGGATGGTGGTGGTAATGGTGATGGTAATTGTTGTTTGGTGACGATTATGGTGGTGATGGGTAATAGTGGGAAAGAATAAAAAATGTCGAATAGAGATGAGAGGGATAAACCGCAATTA